CTTGTCCGTCGATGGTCCCGGGTGCTGGGCAGCGTCGATGTCCAGGGACTGGACAAGTCTCGACATCAGCTCCGCAAAGGAGACGTGGGACTCGTCGGGTGACACAGGACCCTGGGATGTCACAGCGACGTCCAGGAGGTTGAGTCGACCTCCGAGTCAGCCGAATTGGCACCGTAGTAGGGTGGGGCCGAAGATGACGACTCTGCCGGCGAGAAGCAGTGGCTGCTTCCACTTTGTGGGGATCGAGGTGGCACCCGCCTCGAATTCACTGATCGCGGTTGGTCGCGGGGTGGAGGAGATGATCGTGCCCTGGGAGCAGGGTAGTACCCTACAGAGAGCGGATCGCCCCAAGTATGGTAGTAAGGGCGATGCCAACTCTCCGGATGTTGCTCTACCAAGTGGCTCCTCCGGCTTCCTGGTGGGGACAAGCTAACATCCGTTTCCATCATCACCGTGGGCATGGGTGTCGGTGACCTCACCCTAGGAGGGGAGTCTTGGATTTCCCCATCGGAAATTGAAACCTGTAGAGTTCGAAGGGGTGCAGGTGGGAGATCAACCGAACAGCGGGGAGACCCTTGAGGGGTAACCCGCATAGCCTCCTGGAGGACCGGTTTGGGCGGGGTCGGTATCGTAACCGCCACTGGTGCTGAGGGTCCCATCGGTTCCGAATTCCGATTTCGGGGACGGTCCGGATGGTCCAAAGTCTTAGACTTTTTTGGAGGCTTCAAGACCTTCTCCTTTCTGGCCTTCTTATGGCCTGCCAACTTCTCTTTGGCGTGCTTCCGCTTTTCATGCTTCTTTTTAGGTGAAGCAGAGGGGGCCACCGAAGCAGACGCACCTTCGTCCGAAGGCCGTGAGGGTGGGGCCACAGAAGCGGAGCCAGGTTTTGGGATGGCGACAAGCAGGTCTGACTGCATCAGAGCCCGATCCCAAAGGAGCCTCCGAAGCCGGTTTTCGCGGTTCTTCCTGGCCTGCTTGGAGAAGGCCAGGCAAATGCGTGCATTTATCCATCCTATGCCCCTCTCCCAGGCAGAGGAGGCATAAGTCATGCGGGTCAGTTGGTGCCATTTTTGACCCGCAATCCATGCATTTGCGGAAAGCTGCTCGCTGCGCCATCGCAGAAGAGGAGGAAGAAAAGAGAGATAGTGAAGAGGGTAAGTGTGTGTGTGTGTGTGTGTGTGTACATATTGATAGATCAAAAGAAGAAATAACGAGAGACAGCTACACAGAATAATAAGCTGGGAACAAGGAGAGGAAAAAACTAGGATAAGGGACAATTTGAGAACGAGGTAATAGTCGAAGCGAAAGTCGAAAGCGGCACAAGGCACAGCGAACGGCGGTCTCAAAGACTGAACAAAATAGCGGACGCTCCGCTCTTTATAGGCCACAGGGGGGAGGGGAGCAGAGCTTCCCGCCAAAAACCGTTAGCTATCAATCTTCCGGCCACAGGCACTGCGCAGGTGCAGTGCCCATATGTGTGATGCACAGAGGCCACGATGAAGAAATACGTTTACTTGTGCTGTGGATCCTAAAAAATCATGATTTTTTCAAGCCTGGTATATGAATACTATGCTGAAAGCCATACTGCACAGAAGAAACAGAGGCACACATGGACAGAAACACTGATCAAACTCCTTGTGTAGCTTGTGTTCTCCTACTCCGTTTTAGCCTCTAGCCCAGGGGCTTTGCTGCATGGCCAGCTGGCATCTCCTCCCAAGGCTTGTTCCCTTTTCTCACATTGCCAAGCTCACAATGTGGGAAGAAAAATAATTGCGAGAACATGGGATCATATGTGGAAAAAGTGATGTAGGATTGTCTGTGTGCACACCCTCTGTTCACAAGGTAGACTGTCAAGTAATCTGTGGGGCACAAACAGGGCTCATGTCCTGAAGTGTAGCAGAGAGGAAAAGGTCAAGCACCCTCCCCTCCTGCTCCAGAGGAAACTGTTTGAGCATGAAGGGGCCCTGCTCCAAACTCAGACAAAAAGAGGGGAGGAATCTGCTAGGTAGTGCTGCAGAAAAAAACTTTGCATCCCTCTACTAGCATCTGATCAAAGTCCCGCCCAAACATGACAGCAGGGTGAGAAGCAGTTGGATAGAAACAGCAGTGCCTGGCTGGGCCTATGCACCAAATTGGATTCCCCAGTGCCACTGTCCTTCTCTAGTGAGTAGCATGGCAAAAAGCAGCAAGGTGACAGTAATGGCGCCCAGCTGGGGTCCACCCTGGATTCCCCCATGCTGCTGCCCTCCTCACTCTGGTTTGCAAGAGATGTAACCCCAACTTAAAGCTGTCAAAGAGGCACTGGCTTTGGAACACTTCTTTGAAAGTCGGGGAAGAAAGGGGGAACAATGACACTTTTCCCTCATCATTGCCACTGGCCAAGCAAGCCAGTGGCAAAGCCAGAACCAGATGGACAGCAGCAATGATGGCAAGGCAACACTGGTCCCCCTTTCTTGCTCTGGCTTGCCAAGCTGGCATTCCCAAGTCAGCACTTCACTGGGATGGAGATGTCTCTCTGGCAAGCCAAAATGAAACCAGCAGTGGCATGGGGGAATACACTGTAGCATGCATCCCTCAACAGGCACTGCCACCACTTCTTGCTTTGCTGCTCATGTGAGAAGGGTCCAGCACAAGGCAATTCAATGCGGTGTCCAGTCTGCAACTAGGCAATGCTGCCCAGCAGATTCTAGCCACTTCAGCTTGTGCAGGAGCAGTGGTGGGGGAATCAAGGGAGCAGTGTCATTCTTGTCCCAGTGCTGACTAGCTGTATGTTTGCTCCTGTCCCAAAGAAAATCTATAGGGCAGAAGGAATGGGGACACTTTTCATAGTTGTGCCAAAGGCCAGTTGTCAGTCATTCTCTCTGGTTAGCTGCTTGGAAAAAGTGGCCCACTCTTGCTAAGTGGCTGTATTTCTGGCCTTGGTACAGTACCAAATTCTGTTTTCCGGGTTTGGACAACACAACAATCCATTGTGGTACTGAGAAACCACAAAACAGACCACTGTTTATATTTGCAGTTTCTCAAAAAGATCTACCATGCAGAGATATTGTGACTGGGTTTGAAGGACAAGACAGACCAACAATGCTAAAAAAAAACTGATGCTTGTCATGTTGTGTGAACCTGTCCATTCTGTGAGAACTACACAATGAAACTGTATTTATTCTTATTCAACAGAATGGTAAAAGAAGAGGAGCAAATAATAATTAAACACAGGGGTTATTTTAAATCGGATTTACTAATCCAATTGAAAGTGTAAAAATTTAGAAAAATCAACTCCTCTATGGTTGATATATGTTTTATAATAGCCATTCTTTATTCCTGAGCTGCACACAAAAATATTAATCCAAATCTTTAATTTAAATCCTAAGATATATGGGTGGCAAGTGAGGGAAGTAGGGTGGAAAGTTATCCCTGACTCTTATTGCTGAACTGTGAGTGGAAAGACATGAGGAGCCTTACCAACTGGTATCACAAAGCAGCAGCAGAAACAACTAGCTTTATACCAAGGAGACATGAAGCTGTTAACTGCCAAAAGGGCTTTCATCCCAACCAAGTCATGATTTCCATCCCATTTTCACACATTGGTATCAAAGTATTACATTGCAAAGATTTAAAAAAATTTAAGAATGAAAGAACAATATTTGTAAGTGGATGAATTAGTCTCTTTATTATACTTCATAACTTCATATTTATTAGCAGCTACTAGATTTTGTTAGTGTTGGCATTTAGTACACGCTACAGAAAATAATTTGCTTGTGCATATGTGTATGTTTATAACTTAAGTTTATGCCCAAACATTCAAAGGTTTGGAAAACTTCAACATGTAAAATAAGAACAAACAGAACATAAAATAGCAGAGGATAATAATATTTTCTGTAATTTAATTAATCATTTCACCACACCTTTCAAAAAGATTAGGTGGCTTACAAGCAGGCATTACAACCAAAAGAAAAGCCATGGGTTGGAATTCCGACTTTATAAACAGAAGGTCCCTTCCATGCAAGAAAAAATGTTTGAGTTTTGCTGATTCCCTCTTGAGTTTTGCTGATTCCCTCAAAATGTTTGAGTTTTGCTGATTCCCTCTTTCCTGTGCAGCTGTTTGCTCCCTATGAAAACCTTTTCTGCAGGGAGCCCAGCATCCAGAGTTGAATAATGCACTTTGCGATAAAACAATCCCAACTTCAAGTATAAGCTGACGGGAATGTGAGAGGGTGGGGACCACCCAAGAAAGGGATTTTGGTGGACAGCCTAAAGCAAATATCAACTCAGTGCATGGCTGCTGTGCTGAAGTCGAATTCTATGTTAGGCATAATTAGGAAAGGAACTGAATATAAAAATCCACATATGGTACTGCCCTTATACAAATCTATGGTGCAACTGAACATAGAAAAATGCATTCTGGTTGCCACACATAAAAAAGTATGTTGAAGAGATGGAAGACATGCAGAGAAGAGTAACTAAAATGATCAAAGAATAGGGGCAACTTCCCTATGAAGAATGATCACCACACATGAGATTCTTTAAAAGAGAAAAATGGTAAGTAAAAGGAAGACATCATTAAGATATACATAATCATGCATGGTGTGGAGAGACTGGACAGGGAGACACTTTTCTTCTCCTCCCATAATAAAACAACACAGGGTCTCCCCATAAAGCTTACTGGTGGGAGATTCAGGACAGATAATGATTTCTTCACACAGCACTCAGTAAAGTATGGATGTCACTTCTACATGATGTAGTAAGGACCACCAATTTGGATGGCTATAAAAGGGGACTGGACAATGGAGGCTACCAATGGCTACTAGTTCTGAGGGTAATGTGTATTGAAGCAGAGTGGTGCCTATGTTCACCACTTTCTGGGCAACTTGGGCAGGAGACTGCAGTTGCACTCATATTCTGTGGGTAGCTATTCTGTAACTGCATGACTAAATGGACCACTGGACTGATCTAGCATGGCTCTTTTTGGTTCTTAAAGGTAAAATAAATATTATAGACCTTACTTTAACAGATTCCGGTTGCATCACAGGGCCTGGCATGGCGATGGCACTTTGAGCATAAACCTGATGATATGCTGCTTGAACTCCATGATCTGAATATGGCTAATATACAAACAAATAGTTTAAAACATATTTCAACAAATGTATTTTAAAAAATAGTCTATCTAGGCCAGCATATGAACAGCCAAAACACAAACTGAAGGTGATTTTCTTTGGCCCTACCTTTTTATATTCAATTCCATATCCAATAAGCTACTGACTCCAAGCCAAAATGTCTGCCTGCAAATTTCTGGCTGTTTTTGTTAGAGTACGCTAGCTGCTAAAGACAGCAAAGGATATCATGGCACATCATGCCATAACCTGTCCTGTCCTGACCTATCCTAACTGCTTAAATAATGCACCTGTTCAAGGAGATAGGTTTCCTGACATTTTGGAGCCTGAGTGAACATAAAAAGATCCTAACCAAAAGGATTTCTGTTAAATTATTTCACTGCCTCTTCAGTGACTTGAATAAGCATTGTTGGTAGGTAGGATTTCTAAAAACAACCAAAAACATATATTTAAACTTGCAGAATTCAAGTTGGGTTTGATGGTATGCAATATAAAGGCAGTTAACTGTGCAGCAGCATGACAAACAACTGAGGTCATAAATATACTCGTAAAGCAGGCCTTTAACTGGTAGATGCAGTTCCAAACAGTCTCCTCAAAACTGTGTGATACGCTATAGAAAGGGACTGTAATCAGTACGGCTACTGAAGGAGCAAAAGCTGCTCATTTCCCAAAAAACAGAGTCATGGGGACAATGCTTCCTGAATATTGTTTTCACTGAATGTCTAATGTAAGTGAATGGCTACCATTCTGTCTATGAGAAAAAGTGATTCATGAGGGCACCAATGCAGAGAGATACAAGCCTGCCCCCTGGTGGCCCAAGCATCACTGTGGGGAATCCCACAGATTTTTTAAAAGTTTAAGTGTAAGCCAATACTGTCTGCCTATGTATTCTTTGCAGTCTAATTCATTCTTCTAGAAAAGTTTAATTATGTAAAGCATATGCAGTTTATGAATACTTTTCTCAGTATAAATACCTCTGGAACTGCAGCTTCCATGAAGGAAAGAGGAGGAGGAATGCAGCCACCATCCTGTGCAATTTCCAGTGGCTGGTAACTAATTTCAGAAGGATGCAGATAAAAAAATGAGGTGGGAGAGGCAGCAGGACACTAAGAAAAAGAGAGGCAGAGCAAAATATGCTTAAGCACATCATTTGGAGAAGAACTCATACTAGAAAAGGAAATTATAACATTTCAATACAAACATAAGATTTATCCCCCCAAATTTTTTAAAATAAAGGAGAACCAGATCAAACACAGTCATACAAAAACATACCAAATCCTCTCCTCTGTCACCAAAAACAGTATTTCAACAAAATGGCCCAAAGGAGGACAGGAAACCATGGACTTTCCTACTGTCTTTCATCCAATGCTCCTGATTTTTGTCTTGCTTTTACCAGCAAGAGATCCTAAATATTTCTGCCCTCATTTGGAAAACATGACTTCTCTATTCAAAATTCCCATTAGAATTATGTTATTGTGACCAAAAACAGCAAGAAATTTGGTTCTGTCCACACAGTAATTCTTCACCAGCACTTAAGATAAGGCTGTTTCCAAACACCAAACACCCTGGGTAGGATATTTATACATGTGGATAATTTGTAATAGATCCTGTCAAAGTCACAGATTCTTAGCCATCTCTGGTCTTTATGAGGATTTCAAAAAGCCCAGAACCTTAATCATGATGTATATATTTACAGACTATGTTTTTTCCCTCTTTATTCAAATGTGTGATCTTACTCTTTCAAAATTCTACAAGTAATTATAATTAGCTGGTACTCTGTTCTAGATACATGCTCAACTACATTAGCTAATGCAATTCATATATCAGGTGGCCAAACTGAGGCTTGTGATCTGTGTGCAATTATTTGAGTTTATTTTGTGGCTGGCAGAGTATGGGCATGAGCTTGAGAGTATGAGCAAGAGGTACTGGAAGTAACTGTGAATGTGCATTACACTTCGTACAGCCTGGGCCAGGTGTGTGTGTTTCTCCGCTCTTCACCCCGCCCCCACGAGTAGCCCTGCCACCTCCAGCTCCCAGTCAGACAGCCATTTGGGCAGAGCTTTGTTATGATTCATTCTGCGGAACTCAAACTAAACGAGGAGTGAATGGGTGAGTTGGGGCCTGGTCCGGTAAGGTTGGCCTTGTGTGGAGAAAAGGGACAATGAGTTGGACTTAAGGTGGCACTGAGTGGCAGCCCATGTCTGTGAGAAAACTGAGGTATGGAATGAGCAAGGGGAAGTGAGGAGTGGGAATGTAAGTAAGTGGACCTTCAGGGGCAGGAATTTGGGGAGAGAAAAGAAAAAGGTGGCTAAGGGACCATTGTTAAAATTAATGAGGTAACAGCTTGGGTTAGCTGTTGGAGAGCAGCTATGGAAATGTTTGGGGAAGAGTGTCTGCCATAGCTTGATGGAGCTATAGTTTGTAGGGATTTGGGAGAAGGTGGCAATAGGAAGGACAGCTGAAGGACCCACTCTGAGGTATTTTCATGGTAAATGGGGTCTGAAGGAGAGAGCAGTGGTATTAGGAGACCTGGAGATGGGAGGTATATAAGGGAGGATCAGCTGGGTTACAGATGGGTGGAGGAGGGAAACTATGGTAGACCTTAAAGTGCAAAGTTGAGCGCAGGTAATGTGGTCACAGTAGACTGGTGTATGTTTTGTAGGATAAATGGGAGAGGTGAAGGCATCAGGGATGAAATGAAGCCTAAACTGAAGTGCAAGTATAGGGAAGAAACTATTGCGACTTTACTAAGTGGAAGGTGATTGTGGAATTGGATTAAGTGGGTCTGGACACCAAGAAGTAGGAACTGTGACAGTTGGAGAGGCAAGTCTTTGCAGTGTTGAGTAGAGTTCAGTTGTTTACATGGCATAAAAGACAGAAACTCACAAGACCTCTACTGGCAGTAAAAGGTAAAGGTTTCCCCATGACATTAAAGTCCTGTCACGTCTGACTCTTGGAGGTGGTGCTCATCTCCGTTTCCTAGCAAAGGGAGCCAGTGTTTACCTTCCCACCGAAGTGGTACCTTTTTAACTACTTGCATTTGTATTCTTTCAAACTGCAAGGTTGGCAGGAGCTGGTACAGAGTACTGGAGTTCACCTTGTCTGCGGATTCGAACTGTTGACCTTTTGATCAACCAGCCCAACGGCTCAGCTGTTTAACCCACTGTGCCACCGTATCCCCATTCTACTAGCAGTAACTAGCCTAGTAATTGTTACAATGTCTATTTGGTCTAAATAAATAATAAATTTGTTCATGTCTTGTGGCTCTCAAACACCTGACATTTACCATATGTTGTTCTTCTGTTGAGCAAGTCTGATAACCCCCTCATACACCAATGGTATTATTTTAAGTGATTCTTGAAATATCACCTTCATCTTTCTAACATATGAATTCATCACGTTTGTGGCCTACTGGAATCAGGGTGGTTGAGATGACATCTAACAAACTGTCTACTTCCCAAAGTCTTCCAAGCCAAGAGTGATCAGTATATCACATATGTGCCCTCAATGCAACAGTAAGCAATCGACAGAGCTAGCAGCGCCTTCAGACTAGCCAGTATCTCTTATCCCTACCTATCTCATAGCATTTGTAAGAAGTGACACAGAGGAAAGGGGGCATTTCCCTTGTTTTGTGCACCTTAGAAAGAAGGTGGATTATAAATTAATAGAAAGCTGAGACTGAACATAATTTACCTGTGGAATGCTCCACTGCCATTGTCCTGGGAGGCACTGAGCAAGAGCCTATGATAATCGAAAGCAACAGTATGCTAAAATTCTGCATGGTTAAAACCCCAAATCCATACATTTACAGAGTTTGTAAAATAAATGCAGATATAAACTGTAACATAGCAAAGTGAAATACGATGAAGTAGTAAAAACCGTAAGTGGATGTATTTGCAAATCTCTACAGTATTTTCTTTAATATCACATAATAACCATGATCACAAACAAACCATAATCAAATTCAACTACAGCTGCTGCTTTACATCTGCCACAGACTTGACAGTGGAATAATTTTTACCTGATAGTGATATGTAGGTTGTTGATAGACAGGCTGAGCTACCATCACAGGAGAACTAGAAATAGAACGTGACTTAGAAAAGAGAAAATCAATTAGACTCTAACTGAGCTACCCTTAGGCTTTTAAAATACTAGTAAGAAACATACTTTAATAGCTCAATTAAAGCACCAATATAACAACTCATTCAAATAACAGGTCAGGTGTGCCATCAAAGTTTGTACGGTCAATCCCCTTTCACTGCCCACTGTAAATCCCTTTCTTTTCAGCATTACATGTATACCAATGGTAATTTAAAGTGCAGTGTGCTTTACCCCACAGAATTAGAAATTAGCATTTGACGTTTGTTTCAAACTCTGGTTTAAAACTAAAGACAGGCTGCTTACCCATAACTGTAGTTCAAGTGTTCATCTCTGCATTCACACACATGGGCTCTGCACCTTTGTGAAACTTCTATAGCTAGAATTTTTTTTGCTGGGATCCCTTCTCCACTCTCCTAGAATGCCCATACTTAGTGAGTTCCTGCTTATTCCCCCAGTTCCATGACACTGCCTATTGTGGTTTCAGAACTAAGAAAAAAATCTTGGTGCCAACATTATTATAGACACTGATGCCATAAAACGTCTTTGATAGCAACATCAAATCAGACATTGTCACTGAAGTGGGGATGTTGGCAGGTTGTATGAATGTACTGATAACCACACAAGAGCCAGTTACAAATAAGTAATCTGTTTTTGGTCCTTGTACCTACACACTGCATCACTCATATGGGTGATTAACAAGCTAAGGTAATTGTCATTACTGTAGCATCAACCACAGAAACCAAATGAAGGTTCTGACCAAATCACAGCACAGCACACTTCAGGCAAAGACGCCACTCTGGAGAATGATATTGAAATGTCTGCTCATCTGGCTGCATGCACCTTCAGTTGGTCTGAGTTCAAATCCTGATAACTCATATGACAACTTAATAGTCTGAATGACCCATGCTGCTAGTCGTTGAGAGGAAACAAGGAGTCCTTTCCATTCATCTCTGTACCACACAAACAGGTGAACAGATTGGCCAAAAGACTCCATTTGTGATTGAAAGAACACCAAAACCCTCCGGGTATCTGAAGTGTGAAGGGCCTTCCTCACCTCACACAGGAAGAGGAAAAAAGCAGGTAGTACCATTTCCCAATTCAAATATAGGTCAGAGATGACCTTTAGTAGAAAGCAAATACCAAGAAGGAGAACACTCTTATTCCAGTTGAAAGCAATATAGGAAGGGTCAATCCAGAGAGCACAAAGTTCATAAGAGGTGAGCTGAAATGACTGCAGCAAGAAATGCCACAAAACTTTCCAAGCATTGCTGTTAATGGTTCAAAAGACTTCACCAGAAAATTCCTACTATTTTAACTGGAGGTGTGACATTTAGCTTTCCTGAAGAAATTCACAGAGCAATGGGTGAGAGAAGAGTGAGATGCTGCCCACTAGCAGGTTAGAAGCCGAGATAACCTCCAGAAAAATATGAGAAGCCTGCACCCTCGCTACCAGCAACATCTTTCATGGTGTCCAGAGCACACACCCATATCTCCATCCTGAGACAACCAACCTTGTTCTTACGGGCCTGCTTAGTGAAGGCCTGACAGTGTGAGCACTTGTCCACACGATGTTCCTCCCACAAGCAGAAGAGGCAAAAAGAGTGGCCATTGTTCGAAGGTATCTTAGTGCCATATTTGGCACACTTATGAAACACTGGTTTGAGTGCCATCAAAAAGAAAGAAGGAATACAAGATGTAAGGATATGAAGGAAAGACAATAGAAGGGTTTATTTTATTTACTTATTATTTATTCACTTTTGTGAGGGATAGAAAGGGAGATGGGGTTTCAAAAATGGAGGTAAGTAAAAGATAGTAAAGGGCAATCAGAAGATCAAGCAGAAGCAGTAAGAAATATGAGGAAGGATTTTGTGAAGAAAGGCTGAGGTAATTGTAAGCTAGAGAGCCCAAGGCACTGCAAATGGTGGTCAAAAGTAAACTGAGAAAATGATGGGAACTTGCCTATTTATATAATGGGGAAGGGAGGCAAGGCTCTCGCCAAATATTCTAGGCTTAAACTAAAGGAATCTTCCCCAACATGGCACTGCCCAGGCACAGTACCCATATGTGTGATGCACAGAGATAATGATGAACTTGCCGTGATGCCTGTTTAAGACCACTTTCAGACAGAAAGAACAGAAAAAAGAAAAACATGACTAACAGGACAATTTAACAATGTCAACCTTATTGGGACAAACGAAGGTCTTGAAAGAAGCCCCCTTCTTAGCATAAGATAATCTTGTTTCTGGCTTCCTGGGTGTGAAGAGAAGAACTTGTAATGATGTAGATAAGTCTAAGTTATCCATGGACACATCCTGCCAATTGTCAGTACTGTCTGACTGGGATTGGTCATAAAGGTATATTCCATTCATTAAAAGGAGGAACTGGCCACACTGACAGTATTAGGATACTGTAGGTATAGTTGGCCTGGATTTTCAATATAATTCTCATAAACAGAGAAAATGGGAGGAACAGAAAGAACAATGTCTTGCTCCATGTAGAGAAAGCATCTTTTAATGAACTTGGACCATTGCCTTCTATAATTATTGTATCATCTGCAGTAAGGAAGGTACCTTCCATGGCTGTGGCATCATCTGCAGGAAGGTAGGAGCAATGACACTGCAACTGGTGTCAATGCCTCTATATTGAGTCCTTGATTCGCTGCTCCAGTTGTTGTGTTTCCAAGCCCAATGATTACACCATACAGAGTTAGAGAAAAGTCCCAAATCCTGCAAAAGTGAAGCTGATTCCTGTATCCTGACAGCAGCATCCAACAATAAGATCAAAAGTACCAAAGAAGAACACTAAGTGGACTCAGATGGATAATCTTCCACCTCCAGTTGTGGTGAGGCAACTCGCTCAACTGTTTGAAGTAATCCACTCAGTGCAGACAGTGAAAAGTCCTATGACTGATCATGACCAGGAGAGGCCAAAGTGTTGATCATCTGTGACACATCTGTCCTGATAGAACCCATGGGGGTGTTGGCTGGAGCCAAGCTGAAGCAATTTAGAATGCATCCTCTTCCAGTGGTCATGTGCCCAAATGTGTACGGTGCTGACAGCAAGGCAAAATGACATTGGTGTGTCATGACAGGACATAATAGACATTCTGGGCTCAAAAGTAGTAAGTATAAGCACTGGTCCCAATCTGACATGGGAGACTGGAATCAATACTTGTGATCCACTTCTTTCTAAGTATCATCTCTCAGCCCAAATCTGCAGACTGCTCATGGTACCATATGGCACAGTTGGGTAAGAATGGTTGCACATCTGCTTCTAACTCCTGAGGAGAGATAGGATTTTGCATCCTGCCCTCAGAAGCAGAAGTCTGTCAAATTGGTTCAGGAACCAGTACCAATGGAGAAGACATCTGTACAACTGAATTCAAGAATGGAGGAGGTGTGTTATTGGTGCTGACAGCTCTGAACTGGTGTTATCTTGAACTCCTTCCTCATCTTGTGAGTTTATGAAGCCTGAGGTGCTTGAGACTTTTTGGACAACTTTTTGGCCAAAGATAGTATGAGCAAGCACCCAAATGTTGGAGGACTGGTACAAGCTGTGGTTAAACCATAACCCAGAACAATGCCAGGGTTTGGCTCCTTCACCTTGTGCCTGATTGTGGGGCAGGGAATGGAGGGCAGCTTTGAATCACAGATAACTTTAGAACTTCTTCAGCCTCAGTGCCGCCTTCTTTATGTCTATCAAATCTCCTTTGGTGTGAATGCTTGACAATGTGCACAGATATCCATAATAGGTCTCTCTTCACATCAGAACAAGCAAAGATACTGACCCTCTGTAGAAGAAAGATTACTTCTGCAATGCATACATTTGCAAGAGGTTTTCATGGTAATACAGCCAAGACTAGACAATTACTGTAATTATCATGAAAAAGTACCGTAAGAATAAAATGAACTGCAGCTTAATATTAAGAAAATAAAAATCGTGACTGCAGAAGAATTACACAACTTTAACATCAACGATGAAGAAATCCAAACTGTGAAAGATTTTGCATACTCTGGCTCAGTCATCAAGTCAAATGGGGCCACAGGCCAAGAAACTAGAAGAAGCCTGACTTAAAAGGGCAGCAATGAAGGAACTAGAAAAGATAATCATGTATAGGGATGTTTTACTAGAGACCAAGGACAAGATCACCCACTCTGCTGTATTCCTGATCACTGATACATCCAAAACATGGTAGTGTAGAGCTTTGTGAATACACTGGATTGACAGAAAACAAGTGGGTCTTGGATCAAATCAAGTCAGACTTTTCTTTAGAAATGATAAAACTGAGGCTGCTGTACTTCAGGCACATCACAAGAAGGCAAAAATCACTGGAGAAGACAATAATGTGAGGGAAAGTTGAAGGCAGAAGAAGAAAGAGAAGACCAAATATCTGATGGATTAATTCCATAAAAGAAGCAATAGTCTTGAATTTATTTGCTCAGCAGATCTATTAAGGACACAGCATTTTGTAGGCCACTCATTGGTAGGGATGATCTAAGTTGGAAATGACTTGATGGCACATTAACAGCAAGAAAGCAAGCTAGAGTCATAGGCCAGGGTTTCTTCTTGTTTTCTATCTCGCTACATCTGTCCAGAAGGCCCAAGCTTGTGAGGGCTTTGAAAGTACTACCATCATGGATTTTTCTTCACAATCCTCTTTGGATTGCTCTGACCATGTGCTAGGCACTAGAATTGCAACTTCCATAAAACTTAGGGATTTTGGTTGACAAAGCATAAACATGAAAGAAAACGCAAGCAAGCAAGATCCCTTTATTGGGACATCAGATTCAAGATACAAGCTCTGTCCCCAAAAGCAAGCAGTTACTTACAGGCCATGGCTGTGGAACAGAGGAAACTTCAGGAGTGTGAAAATAAGCTACTCCATTATGGTATGTGTATGGATATCCTGTTGATGTAGTTAAGTACATTGTTCCAGCTGCTGGCATTATGCTGGATCCTAAAATAAACAATAAATAAAAACCCAATAATGAGACCAGTGTGCTTTTTAAAATAGGGAAATTTCTAATATAAATGGGCTAAGCACACTTGTGCAAGCAGAAAGCAGCTCTACTCATAGGGCTTCTGCATTCCCTCAATTTTTTCCACACCGCTGCAACTCCCCACATAGCATCAAATAAATTTCATGGGGTCAGGAAAGGAAGATGTAGAATAAATCTGGGTGCAGCTAAACACTGCATCCAAAAGACTGCCCTTGTTCATATGTAACAACCATCTATGGATTCAGTAATGAATGGCTTGTTGAACTGCAGCTTCCCATTAGCTGAGTTTACACTATATAGTTAACAACCCTGCAATGTTTGCACAGCAGGGAAATTTTGCCTAAACTGACCAATCAGATGATCGCAGCACCATTTCTATGCTTCCAATTCCATCATCTTAGCTTTGCCATGCATTCTGGCAGCTGCTGTGAGCAAAATCCTTGTACTTCCCCAATTTTTGCATATAGTCTGCTACAATTTCCTCTTGATTCAACTGCTGTGGTCTTGAGGCAGGTTCTCCCTTCTCCTTCCCAACTGTGCTTGCATGTAAGACAGTGCTTCCCAGTCAGTCCAGCTCCCAGAGATTTTTATTCAATGAAAAGTTTTGCCATGATCCCCGCCCCCCTTCTCCTTCTATGGATTTTGGAAATAGGGAGATGATCACATTGTTCGGCCAATGAGAATAAAGCAAGCAATGGCATGTCCCTTACTAAGGAGCTGAGGCAGCAGAAAGTGAAGGATGGAAGTCGCCAATTCTACAGCTGTTCTTGGCAGAGGACTCTATGATGTTTCCACAGAAACAATGGTAAAATGGTGACTCTGGGCCCAGGCAACTGGAAAAGTCATGGTGAACTGTGGAAACCTTAGAATGGACTGTTAAGTTTTTCTGTGGTTTCAGAAAACTAATTCTATCATGCAGAAACTCCAGAACTAGGTCCAGATGACACAATACTGCTCATGTCATGGTTTGTGTGAACACATCCATTATGTTAATGAAAGTTGTACATGGCCTGCTTACTTAGACTACAAAGGATTGGGTTGCAAAGGGACCTAGGATACAAACTAGCAGCAAGCAGTTGGGTTGGAAAACAACCCACAATCTGCTTCATTTTTCTGGCAGCCAATTCACGGCTCAATTAATTCTACAACCTATGGTTTAATTAATCAGTAGGCTGTCACTGCATGCAAACAGGATCATACTTCGTCCATATAACTCTATTAAAATTGCAAGAACTGTTAATTACAAAATCCAAGCCATTGCAATTTAAAGTAATAAATTTAATATTTTTAATCAACAAGAAATGTTACATGGAACTGAGTAACAGAATTAAAATATAGAAGCCTGCACTACCACCAACAGGTTTTAGACTTTGCTGGGCCTGATCCTTTCTACCATCTCAAGCCTGAACTGGACTGGCCCATGATGCGAAGAGAATTTTAGTGCCTGTAATAGGCAAATGGAGCACTACATAATTATAGGCAATCCTTCAATGGGCAGGGTAAGCAAGCAAGCAAGCCAATACATACGAGGAATCCCTACTTGTTGTTTTCTTATTGCTGGACCAATATTCAGTTTCTTATCCTTATAATTTAGTTTTTCTGCCTGCACAGAAAGAAAATACATATAATTTTATTAAAATTCTCTTCTCCTTGGCAAAATGTATGCAAAGAGCATCAGTTAATCAATTATCAAGAAAGATCTGAAGCCTGCAGCTACAAAACATGCAAACCTTCCTCAGGGGAAGACAAGAATGCTGGGCTTACCATGCCACCAACCTTCTTTCCTGCTGTTGTTCACTGGATTGAGACCCTGCTTGAGACAAGTTCCAAAAGCTCCAAACTGGTAAGCAGGAGGGAAACTCCCTGAAGTGCTTCCTGACCAATTGAAAATGTTTGCTACCTGGGGTGGATGCTCAGTAGGCCTTTATCTGCCCACTCAAAGCAAGGCAGTGACAACCCCAAGCAAGATGATGTCCAGGGGGTTGCCCCTCACAGAGGGGATGCAAGAGTAAGGCCCACCCCTCTAACATCTCAGCTATTTTTTGTCTGTTTGTCTTCAAGTATGGGATATAGTTTGCTCCTCCTTTACAGGGCTTGAATATGTGTCATAGAGAGAGGTTATGGGACCATGTGAGGGGATCTGCATGGGGACAATTAACATAATAATGGGTAAAGGGTGATATGTTGCTGGGTGGAGAGCTAACCCGGTAAGTGAAACACAGCACAGGCAACTGATGACTGTGCTGTATGCTGGGCCTTCTTGCGACTGTAGGTTTGGTGCTTGCCCTTCTCAGATCTACCCTCAGATCAATTAATGCTACTTTAAATGCCAGATAGTTTGAACTAAGACCTCCATCACCCCTGATCTAGTAGTAGCATGTATAACCGAGACCTGAATTGGTAAGCAAGAGCCTCTCCCAGTTGTGCTCACTGGGGTAGTTGGTATAGCATCAGGGTAGACTAGAGGACCAGGGAAGGGCATCTGCCATTGCCTATGGCAATTCTCTTTCTTTTCAGGCTTCCCATCTGCCTGATTCCTAGAGTGCTTGCATTTTGTGTTGGGAAAGACTGGAGATTCTCCTGCTGTACTGTCTACCCTGCAACCTGTCTCCATACCTGAGCTGTCTTGGTTGAGATGTTGAGGTCTCCCAAGCTGATGGTTCAGGGAGATGTTAACATCCATGCCAAAGGTATCCTATCTTGGGGGAATCAGGATTCCATGAAAATTATGAGATGGTCCCAACATGTCATTACCTCAACACATGTAACAGGTTGCACACTGAATTTAGTTTTCAGCCAGGCATGGGGATAGTGACCTGAAGGTTGGGGACACCAAAGTAAGTCCCTTTGTCATGGTCAGATAACTGCCTGCTAAGATTTAGATTAATGGTGACTGCAGGGTTGAAATAGTCCACTCCTAGAAGTTAATGAATCCAGATGGTTTCCTAGGGGTTTTCCAGCTTTATTCCACTCTGGAATAAAGAGGAGACTCAGGCAACTGACATGATTGCTTCTGAGTATCCTTCTGTAGTATAGCTCATACATCTTAGTGGTTTACCCTAGAAAAATGAAAGAAAAAAAAAGGTAGCTAGAGTGCAAATAGGAAAAAAAAATCCTACCGAATGCAGTTCCACTCCGGTATGTGCCTATAGTCAGCTATACAGGTATATGGGAACAGTGGGTATGGCAAAGAAACAATACTTCATTGTCTCTATTTTAATCTTCTGTTTGCTGCCTATCAGAGCTTTTTAAGACATCTAGGGTTCATTACATGCTTGGCCTCACGTGCACCTTAGATGCCCACTACAATGTATTTGCTAGGCACTTTCAGGATAAAATCTCTTACATCCACTAGGACTTAAACACCGAAGTTGTAGCAGTTGAATCTGGCAAGGTACCCAAAACTCATCCTGGTCAATTTTTGTTTAGGATGTTTTGGATGAGTTCTAGCTCAAAGATGTTAATAAGATACTTGGAGTGGTTTGTGGAACCACTGGATTCCACAAACCACTCCCATGCCCATCCTGACTTTTAAAAACCTGGGAGGGAGAAATCAGCCAACTGGGCCAAGGAAGTGATCAATACCTCTTTATGAAAGTGAGTGGTTCTATGCTACCTGAAACAACGGGTGGTGAGGCCATTCCTAAAGAAATCATTCTGGACCCATAAGATATCAATAATTTTAGCCAGGTGGTAAATACCCTTTTCTTGGGCAAGTTCTTTGAGTGGCTGCTTTTGGATAAGACTGATTATCTAGATACAGTTGGCACTTTGGCATAGAAACAGCTTTGGTCACCCTGTATGATGACCTATTTCAGAAGAAGACAGAGACAGACCCTGTTGATACTTCTGGATCTGTTGGTAAATTTTGATACCAAAATTTGGTGTGGCTGGCTGAGTTGGTAGTAGGGGAGGGGTACAGCATCGTAGTAGTTGTGCTCCTACTTGGATGGCTGGCTCCAGAAAGTGGTGCTTGGGAGAAACTCTTTGGTCCCTTGGACAATCCAGTCTGGAATTTCTCAGTTTAGTCTTGTCTCGCGTACTATTTAAGATCTATATGAAACTGCTGAGTGGGATCATTTGATGTTTTAGACTGCACCACAAGTACACTGATGACAAGTAGTTCTATTTCTCCTTTTCACATTCAGCAGGTGTGGCTCTGGATGTGCTAAACATATGGATCACTGTGACAATGGACTAAGTGAGGGGTGATAAACTGAAGCTCAATCCAGACAAGACTGAGAGGCTATTAATGAGTGGTTCTTCTGACCAGATGGAGAGTGTTCAACTTGTTCCGCCTAGGTCTACATTCCCCTTAAAGGAGCAGGCTTGTAGCTTGGTGGTACTTCTCCAGCTATCTTTATTGTTTGAGACTCAGGAGGCTTCAGTGGTACAGAATGCCTTCTATCACCTTTAACTGGTAGCCCAGTTATGCTCCTACCTGGACAGGGAGAGCTGCTCTGGTAATTGCTAAACTAGATTACTGCAATGCACTCTACATGGGGCTGCCCTTGAAAGGCAACAGACAGACTAATAATTCGGACAGAAGGTCCAAACATCTAATACCAATTCTGGCCTGTTTGTATTGTCTGCCTATATGTATTAAGGTGCTGATTCTAACCTATAAATGTTAGAAAATCTCACTTTTAAAAGAAGCTCCTACTTTTGACAAAAGTATGTGCTGCTGTAAACGTGATGAGCTGCACTTTCCCAAGCACCAAAAGGGTCAGAACACAATAGAAAAGGTGGGGGACACTGAGAAAACTAGAGGATCTTGCTGCAAAGGGGATGTTTTAGTCATCATCCCACTTTTTAAGCAAAGATCTTCATGCAGTTGTTCTTTACAGCTCTCAACTGAAAGCAAAGCAATATTTTTGAAGTCCAACTTTATCAATGTGCATGAGTGTGTTATCAGTACAATGCTCAGGTGAGACTACATTTATGATAACTGAGTTATACACATGTATAACCCTGAATTGCTGATAATTAAAAAGTTTTCACACATTTTTGGTGAAAAACGGGGAAAAAGCAGCAAAGTAAAGTGATGGCTGCTGCAGCATGACGCTTGGGCACTTTGGATGGGTTGTTTGAGATTGTGAAGTGTTCTACAAGAAAGAAGTGGGGGATCACAGCTACTATGACAACAGAAGGGCTGCAGGTGGAGCAGAGACAAGACAGATTTTGCTATGCAGGTGTCTGGGATACCTGTGGGAAGACAAAGAGGGAAGCTGAGGTGGGGATCTGATGACTATTTATGAGGCTCATAGGCTATCAGCACCATAGGCTCTGGGCAGTTTACAAGTGATTAAACCCAACAGTTAAAATTTCAACTAAAAACAAGCATATTGAATAAAAATAATCTGAGAACCAATCTGGAGAGGCCTGTCAGAACAGGTACATCATTAATTCCTTTTTGTAGGTAGCAATCTGAGATATCTGAGACATCTCTCCTGGCAGGCCATTTTATAGTTTAGGGACAACCATTGAGAAACTCTTCTGGATAGCTTACATTAATCTTACAGAGGAAAGCTTCAAAATATTGTCCCCAGAGGGTCTTAGCAGGTAAGACAGAATATATGGGCAAAGGTGCTCCTGCAGGTACTTTGGACTTGAACTATGGAGAACTTTAAAGGTAATTACTGACACCTTTGTACTATGTCCAGTGTGGACTGGCTTCCAGTGCAGAGACTTGAATATTGATAATATACAGTCTCTTCATGATGTCCCAGAGATCAACCTGGCTACCATATTTTGTACTAGTTACAGTTTCTGGAGTAACCACAAAGATAGCCCCATGTAGAATACATTGCAGAAATCAAGTCTAAAAATTACCAACACATGCACTGTTGTTTCCAAGTCACACTCCTTCAGGAAGGGATGCAGACAGTGAACCAACCAAAGCTAAATCACACGATGATACATGACCAATATGCTTTCCCACTCCTACTACCTTATGTGTCAAAACTCATGTGAGTTATCCTATGTTTATTTCTTTTTCTTAAAATGAGGTTTGTTTCTATGGAATGTCCTACCATACTTTTTAATAAAGTTTCCAATTAGGCCATTGTTCCCCCACCTATAAAATTTTTAATCACTGCCAACATAGAAACACAACAGCCTGTTTTCTATGGCAAGGACATGGGAGTGACACCATCACAAGAGACAACCTTGGAAAATGAATGCAAGTTAAGATGGCAATTAAGTAAAATTATTTACAAAAAGGAAAACAGTACCTTTCTTTAAATATAAATTTAAGGTTACTGGGAAGAGACTTAATGTTCCTAAGGTAGCAAAATGAGTTTACTCGTAGTTCTGTAAAAAGTGCATTCCCACTGTGGACTGGACATATGCTGCAACATTCTGCCACTTGAAATCTCCTACTTGAAAAATATTATAAATACATGTTAATGTAAATGGATATTACTACTGCTATCCATGCATATATACAAATCATTTTACCTCTTGTAAAATCTTTTGTGCATCTTCCTGTGTTTCAAATGTGATGAAACCATACCTAAATAAACAGCAGAAATTATATTTCTTAGCATGTATTATATTTACAAACTTTCCAAACTATGATTGCTGCTTTATTTGAGCAGTGAACCTCTACTATAACAAGAAGAGGGCTAGTTATTTGATAAGAATAAAAATAATTTGAATATTATGTATTAATACATATGGTCTATCAAACAGACCAAAATATTTTAATATTTACATATATAATTGTGTGCATTTTTATATTGCATAGAAAATAAATCAGAATTGGCATTGTCTTTTGCCAGGGTGGCTCTGACCACAATAAAAACCTAGTTTATGTTTTCCTACTAAAAATTGAACACTAACACTTAAATTCTCTTAGTATGTAACACATGACTGTGGGTTATAGCTAGTTTAGTTGTATTTGTTTCACATACAAAAACCGGTTCAATACAACATCACATAGGACCTTCTGTAGCAAGGGTACAGCAGAATCATAAGAAACTCAGCAAGGTATTCTCCACCAACCCAGTTTTAGTGAAGTTGCTTTCCTGTAGCTAATGTTCTTCAAATGGTCATCTGTGCATTCACACATATGGACTCTGCAGCTGTGTGGGGCCTGCTGTTGGGAAGATTTTCCTAGTTAAGTGTTTTGGAAGGAGCCTTGCCTTCTCCCCTCAACAGTTTATAAAGGTGGGGTTCCCACCATTTTCCTCTGTTCTTGTGAAACCATTGTTTGGCCTTGGAACATCAGTGGCCTTCATTGGTTTGATCAATGCCAGCTTGACACAGATATAGAGGCTAGTGGGAACTCTTAAAGCAGAATAGCATTATGGCTGCTGACACCAAAGTGGGGTTGGTGAATGGGTTGTATGAATGCACAGATCACCACTTGAAGAACATTTTAATGGTCTCTGTGCATCATAGATATGGACAGAGAGGAATGGAGGAAGAAAAGTTGTCAGCAAAGGACTGCTGAGCGTAAGGAATTATTTCTGGTGTCAGTAGAGAGAAGACCAAACAGAGGCATGAGAACAGGACAATTTGGGAGTAAACATGAAAACAGACTCTCAATCTTCTGATATGGAGTGTAAGAATCAAATAGATAAAGGACAAGGGGGATTTGAGGACGCTCGTTCTCACAGGCACACACGCAGACTGGGACAACTGGAATCCAGACTGACTGAATGACGCAAAGAGAGGGGTCACAGCGCCCCACCCATGGAGGGGCAGCCACGAAGGGTTCATAAACCATGTATGGGCTGAACTTAGAACGAGAGAATAACTTTCTATCCTGTTTTGACTTTACATTCAATGCTGTTTAGAATGAAGATATTTGTACTATCTGCTGGAGTGAATGCTTTCATTGGGAAGGAGCACCAGCCTCACGACAACCTGTATAGTTAATTTTACCAGTGTTTCTGAAGAAAGCTATGCCCAAGCAGTTACAGAGTCCAGTCTGGCTCCAGTGTAAAGGATTGTCTGGGAAGGAATGAGGAGATTTTTTTTGATATTAATGCAAAGTCCCAGTTGTTTCAAAAGACAGCATATAATGTGGATAAATACTGTTAACTCCTCATGGAATGAGCCAGTCAAAGAGCCAGTCATCTAAATGCGGGAATATAAGATTTGCACACTACATACATTTTGTGAACATCCATGGATGCGGAGGCTGCCATCCTTCTTAATTGGGAGTAGAAACCGTATTGGAGATCAGCTGGTGAAATGGGTTGTGTTGCTCCCTTCAACAGTAGTGCAGCTACCTCATTTATTAGGGTGGCTGAGGGACGTGTAGTATGCATGGTTCCAGTGGTAGAAGCGTTTCAAACTCTATGCAATATCTGACCTCTATAATCAACATAACCTATCAGCCTGATGTTATGGCTTCGCATTGGGGAAGGTGGGTTTAAGGAGGCCTTCAAACCAAACTGTTGGTGGTGTTGTGGGACTCAGATCTGAGTAAGCATGGAGGTTGTAGCAATGCTGGCTGGTAAACTGAGGGAGATGGTTGACCGGCTGGAGTTGGTGCTTTTGGACATGATGGCAATGTGGACACAGGAATCGATGGAGTGGTAACTCATGGTTTTCTGAAGGATAGGTGTACCCACTCCAGTGGAGGTGTCCCAGATCTCTTTGTCTTAGATCCCATGCATAATATCTGTCATAGCAGACACAATGGTTGTATCAATGTATCAACCATTGTGGTCCACTTTCCCAGGTTAGCATAGGAGATCTAAACAGCTTCCTTGGATGGTGGATGGAGCTATTTGATGGTGCTGGGGAGATTTATTCATAAAAAGGGTCAGGAACTGGCTCTTGGGATTATCTTGGAGGTGAGGGAGATGGTGGTGCCTTTAGAGTGTGAGATGGAGAATTTCCTATTTCATCTTCTAACAAACTAAGGATAGTTGTCAGTTCTGCTTTTGTTGCAGTGCCTGATGGTTACAGGGAATGCTGCTCTGTTGGTCCAGGTAATGCTGGAGCTGAGGATGAAGCTGGTCTAGGGTTCATTGGTAGGACCACTGGAGAAATGGAGGAACAGTCCCATGCATGGGGCTGTATGGACGAATCATGTTGAGTCCATTTCTTTTGATTTTCTCTTGGCTGTCTTCGCCACCATTTTATGACTTTTAAGTCTCCTTTTTAGCTATTCTTCAGCAGTTGAATGCCTGTGAGTGGACAAAGTGGTTTTTGGCATCACAGCAGCCACTGATGGTGAACATAGTATTGGAGATGCCCATGGGTAGAAGGGCAATTTGATAAGGCTGATGTTACCCTATTGGCTACAGCAAGGGCACATGTCTGTATTTCACAGCTCTGATGGCTGACCTGGTTCTTTCTTGCCTGATGGGCGAAAGCCTGACAGTGCAGGGACATATCTACTCTGTGGTCCCCCTCTAAGCAGAAGAGGCAGAGTGAGTGCCCATCTGAGGTGGGCATTCTAATGTGGGCACATCTTCTGAACACTGCCATGAATACTACTGGGTAGAGAGAAACAGAAATAATGGATGGGGGGATGGTTAATGGTTGAAGCAAAGAGGAAAGAGGGGATTTCTGAATAGATGATAGAACCATCAAAAATGTTATAGAGATGGATAGTTTGGACTGTAAACTAGTAAGGGAAAGAGTGTTTTACAACATAAAGTAGAGCTCAGGGTAGTGTTAAAAGATTTTAATAAGTGAGGAAACTAGGACAACAGAATGTCCTGGAGGCACCCCAAGGCGGCAGAAAATGAATTGAGGAAAATGGTGGGAGTCCTAGCTCCTACCAAAATGCTTAGCTGGGAAAATCTCCCCAACAGCAGGCCCTGCACAGATGCAAAGCTCATATGTCTGATGCACAGAGACAACGAAGAAGAAAAAGGAGTTGCCTGAAACCTTTACAGATATGCTTATCTGCAAGTGTATGCTTCCACAAGGAAGGGACCCAGTGGCTGTAAACCAGTCAGCCTGAGACCTGGTTCACAGTAATAACTAATCATGGATTATTTAACTTGGAACCACATGGGTACAAGAGACTGAGTTGCTTTTCAATGATTCTGCTTTGTTTTTTAGAATTCTGGGTTGCTGTGGGAGAGGTGACACATCTTAACCCAACAATAAACCATGGCTTAAAATTCTGGGTTGACTTTCCATTTACAGCTCAGAATTCCTGCCCTGCTTTGTAAACTGGAAACAAAATGGAAGCAGCAAATGGGAGCTAACATTCCTGCATAGTCCTAAACTACGAATTTTCATTACATCCAAACCAGTCAAGAATGACACCAGAGCGTGAAAGCATGCACATCTGATTTCTTATTGCTTATACTATTTGGGAAATCACAGCCTGACAAAGCAACCCTGGCATCACATTTCTGGGGTAAAGATTGGGAGATTCCTGTCTAGTACAGATTTCTTTGATGTGCCTTTTTTGGGGAGGGAGAAGTTGTTGAATGAAGATGGTAAGATTCAGTCCAGATATTCTCCTCCTTTGTGCCACCAACATCTTCAACCTGTTCTAGGCAATTTGCAGGAGAATCAGGTTTATAACCAAACTGGCCATTCGTATCTTTTAATGTAACAAGTAAGAGTTACTTCAAGATTATCATGTAGGAAAATGTTCCTAACTCTAAAAGACTGTATTTCCAGCTGTGATACAGATAACTAATAATTTTGGCTATTTCTCTGGCTATCTTTCTTAATTATCAACCCACTCCTTGAAATTTAATGCAAGGTCAATACAAATGGAATTTCCACACCATTTTGACAGCTAAAAAACTAATGCTACAACATAGGCCACATGTGATAACATTCAATTTAATAAAGTCTTAATTTTTTAATATTTTGGACTTATGCATGAGTGGACAAATATATGGATACTTGCACTGCCTTCATTGAAATAAAGCATAATTATTTTTAATAATAATAGTATGTCTAGTTGTGTGGAAATACGTAAAAACATATAACATGTATGTATTTAATGTTATGGATGTCTTTAAATCTTATGAAAGAAAACTATTTTTTTCTTTTTCGTTTTATCATTCTTTAACACATAGTAAAACACAGATTTTAAGAACTGATACTTTCTTTTATTGCAGGCCATCAAGTATTTATGAATGTGTTGGGAGGAAAATGTTCAAAAACATTTATGTAAATGCATTAGGAAGATGAGTAATCACAAGTTCATTTCATAAAGTAGGGTATAAAAAAACTCTACATAACTCTGCATTTTATATAAATATTCTATGTTAGGTTTATGTAAACAGTAAAATGGGCTCATTTTCCTAAATGAGGATCATAATGGCTTACTGAAATATATAACTAATAGGTAGTTAATAGCTACTGTATCTTACAAAATGCTACATAAACTCAATATACTAGAAAATATGTGTTTCATGTAAATGAAACTTTTAAATGCTGATATGAATGATACTGCCTTTCAGTTAAGCACAAACCTGTACTTCTTACTCAGGTCCAATAAAATGTACTTCCAGGGAATCGTTTATAGGTCAGTAACTTCAATCTGATAACATCCCTTGCTTATATGACAAGAACGTTTGCTTGCATAGATTACACTAATTGGTATGATATCCACTTTATGGATGTGAATTCTACTAACCCCTTTGACACTCCAGCTCTGTCATTTACTATTTTTACTTCTTTCACACATCCATACTGGGAAAAAAACTTCCTCAGGTCATTCTCATTAGTCTATTAAAATAAAAAGACAACAATTACATTCAAGGCAATATAAAGTCCAAGTCAAACTACTCTTCATCTTCATACACAAGCATTTCCCTAGCCCACAAATTAGTACAGTGATAGTTCTTATATGAGCATAGATTCAGCTCAACTTGGAATTCCTTTGTGAAACCTTGGTGACTGGGGAAGGGAGGGGGGATAACCTGGTCACTTACAGTGAGTGCAAAATGTCTCCAGTCAATCAGCCAGGAAAACTTCAACAACTTGTTCTTAAAGTCACAACTTATTTAAGACTACCCAAAAGTTTGAGTAGACAGATTAGCTTATAAACCAAAGTGGAAGCAACCTTTTCTGTCCCTGCTTCCAGGCTATGGAACTACCTCTCAAGGGAGTATAAGATTGTTTCCACTCTGATATCCTAACACTAGCAAGCAAAGACCACTTTATTCAAGATGACCTTTGGCCTGTAAGTAGATCTGCTGGGTGCTGTTTTAATTCTGTGTCTGCTACATTTTTATTCATTTTAATGAATCATTTAAACCAATTTTAATTGCATCTGTAAGCCATTTTTGGTAGAAATGTGGGGTACAAATCAAATAATAAAAGCACAACAGACTGACCTGGTTTGCATTACATGAAAATCCATCATGGTAACTAGGCATGGTGGGATGTCATATCATCCAAACAGAGAGTGCTTCCAACAGTGTGGCTGTTGGCCCCTCCACAAGACACTTTGAAAACACATGGGCTGTTGTACAGCTTGTTTTATCAACAACTGATCCATGTAGGTGATCAATCCCACCATGAGTAAAAGGACACAGTGAGGCAGACCAAAGTGGCAAAAGACTTATCATTTTGCCACTCCATGTGATTTCACGCATGCCACTGCCAGTGACAGCACCGCCTGAAGTGCCCCAGTGCTACACCTATAGTTTTAAAGATTTTTGTTGCAAATGTATACACATTGTTTCATTATTTTTAAAAGACTTTTTAGTCAGAAAAAAGTGAGAAGAGGAACGGTGGGATTTATACCCCTTATACAGGAAGATCTCATCTTTTTCTCGACATCTATCAAAACTCTGGTTTCTTTTAAAAAGGGGCGGCTTGGACTATTCCATATTCCCAATCACTGAGTGTCTCAGGAACAAGTGGAAAACTGAAAGCACCCACAGAACAATCTGAGAGGGTTGGGTGGGGAATCTTACTGAGAAGTGGGTATAAATTCTACCAACAGCCCTCCACAGCCACAGATCTCTCATGGCTTTCGTTGGCTTGATAACCCACCTTTTGACAGCTAACAAAACAGTGCGGGAAAGGGCAATTTGGATCCTCTATGGCATTTTTCTATCAGGTACCTCCTTGAACATTATCCAAGCAAAGCTGTCCACTCCTGGACTTCCGTAAGGGCAGATGTGCACTTGTGAAACAAGCACAAATATTTTAAAGAAATGTCAGCAAATATTGACATGTATAAGCCTACCCCGCAAAAAATATTGCCACCACAGAGCTCCCTAAGCTACAGCTTGAGCACTTTGCAGGGGTTGTCAAAATTAAAAACAAACAAACAAAAACGAGATTGCAAAAGTAGGCTGTCAGGCTGGAGATCACAATCTCTGTGGAAAAAGTCATGCCAACCTGAAAATGCTCCACAATTACAGTAGGGAGGGGAGGGCAGCAAGTCAGCAAATAAGGACTGTTATCGGAGTCTGGGTATTAGGCCTACTGAGTGAAAGAACCTTTAGAACAAGTTGTGAGATGTTAGAATACTGAGTAATAACTTTGGTAATAACTTTCCCACAAGTTATTCACCCTATGGGAAACTCTCTAGGTTTGAACACTGTAATAACCCACTGTGGTTCAACACCAACAGTGGGTTGTCACAAGAATCTAGTAGTATATTCATCAATAACTTGAATGAAAGATGTCATATTAAATTTGTAGCTCAAAATACAGAACTATTAGTAAGTATAAATTTATTTGAAGATGTAACAGAATGTTAATAGATGCATTTTCAGTGTTTTAGCCTGCAGACCTAGTCACACTTATCAGAACTTGCTACACTGAAAATTATAGGACTTATTCCTAGGTAGTCATGCACAGGATTGCAGTGTTTATAATACATACATAATATCCCAGTAATCAACAAACTATCTTCCTATAATTGAGGTAGTGGCTTGCATGTTTGGAACCAGGAAAATCCTGGTCCAGAGTTCTGTATCTTATGCTACTGTAGCTCTTTAATACAAAATTTAATCATTTTGAGTTAATTTAACAAATTACTGTTACTTGTATTTTAACAAAGGTGGAAGAAACAAAAAACTGCTACACTAAAGGTTAGATCTGTGAAGGAAAAAAAAGGCTGCAATCCAAAGGATCACAGATGCACTTAGGTGTTTCCTGATTTCTTTTCCACTCCAGCATCTCATGCCCCAAAAAACCAGTTCTGGGGAGCTGAAGAAGATTCCAGATTGCACACAATGAAGTACAGGGAGACCCCTTCCTGATTTCATGCAGCCAGGAGGAATAAAGTTTTTTTTCTTTCAAGTTTGGTTAACAGTGGTTTGACATATTGTCTGGACCAAGAAACAATGGTTAATATTACAACATTCACAGTATGGCTTAGTGAGACACATGCAAGTTTGCTTTACTGTTTGCAAATCACAATCCTTTACTTGCATGAAGGACAAACAGAGACCAGGTTTCAATTTGGACAGAAACTGAAACGAACAGCTGTCAAAAACCTTCTCTTGGTTATACTTAAGGAAGAGAAGGAGGTTAGCACACAACCTTGAGGCTTACTAGATCTCATTCTAGCTTGCGTATTCAACCCAAACTACTATTTAGCACAAAATAGGACTACATTGTGGTTATACAGTTGTGGTACTTTATGGAATACCATAACTGGCTGGAAAATGCTGAGTAAGATATTTTCTGGCTAAAGATTCACTAGACTGCAGCCTTAGTGCAACATCCAAAAGTGGCTAGTGAAACAGGACAACAGTTAGCTTCAACTTCTGAACTTTAAGCAAAGTCTGCTTACTGTGATTATGTAATAATGCTTTGACATACATTCTTATTTTTGTATTGCTATTCTTGTGACATGAGCCATTTGGGCCTATATATGCAGAAAGATGGCACATGTGAGGAAATGAGAATATACTTGCTCTAACAGCAGCAGCATGCCCAATGTATCTGAGTATGCAGGCAGGAACACAAATTAAATGGAGTCTGCAATTAGTATTGTGAACTTTTGAAAAATCATACTGTTTAGACTACTGGTCTCGAAAGACACCTTAAATTCATAAATAAATATCACTGCATGCCACTCTAAACCAACTGGAGGATCAAATTCAGATTTTGGCTAGGCTCTACCTATGCCAAATTTATACTCCTGTTTCTTCTCAAGTTTACTGGAAAAGAGAAAGACTAAGATAAAATCTACATTTGTTCACTGGACAGTGAATGATTCCTCTTTAAATTTGCAAGGTACTGCTACTCTTGTCCTTCCAAGTTACAAACCTGTTTATACCCAACAGTGCATAAATAATCTACTTGTGTAACAAAATTTTCACATCCTTGCCTTCCCCTGTAATTCTACTCAAGAGGGTCCTATATCCTTCCAAGCAGATGGGGGAATGACACAGTAGTAATATGCGTGCCAACAGATGCTGTTCCACTGGCAGGAGATTCCCTTGGATATAACACCTATTTTCTACATGTCCATAACTAATACATATAAAATTATTGAATATATTTAACAGGTTATTTTTACTCTAATATTTAGCTACCAAGTTTATTGTGAAGTACCTTAAAATCAATTCCTCCAACAAAGATGCGATTAGGAATGACTGTTCCAAATCTTGGGACACTTGTGGGGTTATTTATAGGTGCTGGTGACACAGTATTAGGAGATGGAGACAAAGAATCGGTTTGCATCTGATTTGTGGTTTGCTGTTTGAGAGAACACAGTAAAGATATTTTTTTATATATTACAGTTTCTGAAAAACAGTATGAAATGCTAAAAAACAAATCATAGCCATTATGATTCCAATCCTCTGTTGGCTTGTCTACTGACCACAGGACCTCAATTTTGTATTGAATGAACCTCAGTTTTACCCTCATTTTAACTTCTCCAATTTTTATTCTTGAGGTTTTATAGTAAACAGCATGAGGGGCAAGATAGAACCAAGGTAATTCTCTTCCACAAATCAGGTCTGGACCCAAACAAAAAAGTACTGAGACCATCAGATTCATCCAAGAAAACTTGGGAGTTCTGTTTTAAAATCTTACTCAAAAAGGAAGAGTTGAAATTGGATGATAATTAGCAAGTTTGGTAGAAGCCAATTAAGGTTATTTTTCCTTTAGAAATACCAGAACATGACCTTCTTTCAAGGATAAAACAATAATCTTCATTATGCAAATGGTCACCCCCCCCCATCACCCCCTGCAGCTCTCATAAGACAAAATGCACATGGGTCAAAGGAGCATCCAAGTTGGCCTGACTCCACTGAGCACCCTTTCTACATCCTCTAGTTGAATAAACTGAAACTCATCCATCAAAGTTGAACAAGCAGCTGTATGAATAATTAATTTGTACAAAATGCAGAGTCCATGTCAGAGCAATTCCTAAAGATTTTGTCAGCAAACTATTTGGTCAACATGACACAACAGCCCTCACATAGTTCACCTCACCACCTTAAAGGACAGAAATATAGTAGTCCTTCAACCCCCACAAAATAACTACCTTAGATAACACCATGCTGACACAACAGCAGCAGAAAATGAAGACTTCCCTGTCATAGATTATTTCTGTTCGATTGGATGTGGCCCTTATTTTTCCTCTGTCTTCGCTCCAGTTATCTACTCATACACTTTACTGCTTTAAGCTCTTCAGAAAACTAAGTAACTTGGTCTCTGCATCCTGGGAAAGAACACTTGGAAGTGATTATAGCAACAGTCTCTGTGAATCTAAATCCTGTCATATAGATTTTACTTCCACACAGTCATTACATTGGAGTAAGCTGACTGTGAAAATGTCAGGAGGTGAAGCTGACTTTGGGTTTGGCAAGAGGGCAGCACTAGTGGGTTTTGGCTCTTTTTCCATGGCCAGATTGATAAACCAAATTTATTCCTATTAGTTGAAACTTTGTGACTGTTCATGTTTTTTTCAGAAAGTCATACCTGGTTATTAGCTTGCCTAGAGATGGAAGTATTGGCTGTGCTAAAAGTTAGAGTAGGGCCAAATGAATTGGAATTAGAATGCACTTCTGAGGGGCCAGATTAAAGTATATTTTATTTATTATTTATTTTTTTAAATTTATTAAAACATTTTTATGCTGCCCCATTCGCCGAAGCCTCGGGGCGGCTTACAACAATAAATTAAAATAACATTTTAAAATATATACATTAAAATACAAATATATAATATAAAACATACAATATAAAACAAGCCTCCCTGGCCAAATAAAATTCAATAATATTAACA